CTGTTTGTCGTTCTGACTGGTTTTACTCTCTGACTTTGAATTTCTAAGCTCAATAAAAAGTTGTGTTTTGCTACAGCTGTATGTGACCGTCTCCACAAAAACGAGTATTATGGGACTTTTTTTTTCAAAATGAGTTACCTACACATTTGAATTGGTTTCATTAAAAGCTTCAATGCAGAATTGCTTTAAGAGATAAAGCCCTTTAAACACAGGAAGTGGGAAAAGAAATCAGCCAATAAGAAAGTCTCTTGATGTCCATAGCAACAGTTAGGTTTCTTGTATGAATTTTGAAAGTACTGATAGGAGATACCGGTAGAGGCTTGTGGGTACACCATGGAATCAATCTCTTTTGGAAGAGATAAGGTTCTTAGAAGAAACGGTGAGTGTTAACTCAGTGTTTCAGCCTGGATATTCTGTTTTTCCTCGGAAGAGTATGCTGGACTCGAGTGGACCGCTGGGTTATAAAGATGATCCGGAAGCGGTGGAGCGTGAAACAGGATTCACAGGGTGTGTAACTGCTGCACACGCACTGGAGCACGAAGGTGTTGGATCCTGTGGTGGTGCAGGGATGCAGAATTGGCAGTAAACCTTGGGTTCGGGTACATGTATAGGGGACCCTTATGCCAAGGGGGAAGGAGGTTGTGGCTTAGGGCAGAGAAGACCCTAATGCTTGGGTGGGTGGTATGGGTTTTTGGCACGGGGGGGCCCTACTGCTCAGGGGTGGGGGTTAGCTTGGATGCTTGTGAGTGCCAGATGTCGCTGAGCTTGAAACCAATGTCTTGGGGGATGGTGTTGTGCCGAAAAATCTTGATGGCTTCTCAGATTCTTTGTGGGAGCCAGTTCTGGATGGCGGCGATGAGTTCTGCATTGTCCCGTTTGATGTGGTGGTTGGAGGAGTGTGCATGCTTGAAGATGGCCAACTTGTTGTATTCTCCTTGTCGGCTGTGCGCATGGTGCTCTTGAAGCCTGGTGGGGAGGTTCGTGCCGGTTTCTTCAATGTACACTTGGCGGCATCCACATAAAAAGCGATATACATGTACACCGGGGCGACTGCTGGGTGGGTGCTTTTCCTTGTGGGTATGAAGCACAGCCTGTACCGGTAGCTTGGGTGCTGAGTGATGGACTCTGGTGTTGGCGGACTGTAAGATACTGTGGAGTTGGTGGGAAGTGGGACCCAGGTACAGTAGACATACGGTACTGTGGTGGTGTGGGCCGGGTTGGGAGGCTTCAGGTATACCGGTAGGGGGGAGGGGACTTTGGGTATAGGAGACCCTGGAAGGGGGATTGAACATGTTGATACGTTTCATCTAGCTGTTCATCTAGGGGGTGGACTTGATCATCTAGCAGATGTGTGTAGACATACATGATTTGCTGTTGTATGTCTACCGCACCTGGGCCCCACTTCCCACCTGAGCCAGGTAGTCTGGTACATTTACCAATACCAACATTTTTACTCGGTATTAATATGTTTTATAGAGAGCCACCCTCTCATATTTCCCATATCTACAGTACATGGACTTACATATACCCTGGTAGTTGAGCAGTTACACATGTAGGAGCAAGTCTGAAAGCCTTTTGCCTCGATGCAATTTTCTTGCAAGCTGCTGCGGCTGAACGACAGCCCTTAGACAATGTTAGATAAGTTCACATTTATTTCAACTGTAACGTTTATGACCTTATAGTCACCAGGTCCCTAATTTTGCCACCAATTGTTAAGTCTGATTAGTTTTCATAGTGGCAGCTTGTCTAGATGGAGGTTAGTCGACCATTAGGAATGAATCTATGGTGCAACCATGGTTGCACCGCTGGTTATCACTCAGTAGCCTACCGGTATATAGCAAGTAATTTATCAATATAGAGGGAACCACTCACTTCCAGGTTCCAATTGTGTGAGATACTGGTACCATTGACCATGAATGCTGCGAGAGTTGCATTCAACAGCAATATGTAAGTGATGATGAGATTTTACTAACTACACTGTAGTTTGATCAGGGATATTGTACTCTAATGTTATGCGTTCACATTGTTAAAAGCAGATGACTAGTGGTTTATCAGTACAGTCCATGTAGTTCATCTGAACTTGCCCCTCGGCGCTGCTGTTTAATTTCATCCTCGCGATTAATGGCCTTCTGCCTATAGAGTGCCCTAAAGGCCATCTTTGGCTTGTTTAGCGAGGCGGCCAGTGGCAGCAGTGCATAACGATTCAAGTACCAGGGGTACATGAGCTTCAGCAATTGGTGGACCTTCTCCCTTAACGTAGGTACATGTAGAAGTTAGAGGCCACAAGAGTGGCAGCCCTCCAAAAATTCATCACCACTACCATCTGTGTATAGTCTGTATACACAGATCTGTATTGTCAGTTTTTTGTTTTAGCTGTGAAAAAGCAACCTTGACTTTGAGTTGTGAAAGTTGTCAGAGTTAAACTTTCTATCCAATGAAAATTGCCGGCAGTATGTATTTTGTTTTCAGACTCAGCATTTTGTTTAGCACTGGTTTCTAAATGCAAGAAATGAAATTCCCTCCCACTGACATGGTACTTTACATGTATTGTTAGCCCAGGCAGATACATGTATGTAAGCCATCAGTCCTAATCTCTGTAAATTGACACCACAGTAGTATCTGGACATAATGCCCCTGTACCCTGCATTTGCAATCCCCCCCTTCCAGGGTAGTCATACCACTCATCATTTGCAAACTTGACCCCTCGATAGTATAGGTCTGCTGACGGAAATATGTATTGAATAAGAAGTTTCAGTAGTGAAGCAAGATGCTTCAGCATAGTAAAAAGTAACGGTACATGTACATGTACGTGTACATACATGTACATGCACGTACGTGTACAGGTTTGGTAAAGTGTTTGCCATTGGTACTGGCACATACATGTACATGTATACATTCAAAGTGGCATTGATTCATGTACAATGTATGTGTTGTGAGGAGCATCTCTGCTTAATCCTGGTAAATACATGTACTGTACAGGCTGCCTAACATGCCCAAAGTAATGGGTTTTTGTTCAGAGACTTTAAACATGTACATGTACCACTAGCAGAGTCTTCAAAGTCTGCATGTGTTTTTTCATCCTGTGCACGTTTGTATACAGTGTATGTGCTTTCTTGAACTCGACATATCCGTGCAATTTTTGCCAGGCATAAATGCCTTGTTGGCCCAAGATGCATTTTGTATGCTCAGTGCCAGTGAGTGGGCCCATGGCAGCAATGATTTCTACCTGGTTCATGTATTATTGTGGTCACTGGATTAGCCTGTAGTAGCTGTTGATTGAGATACTGTACATGTACAGGTACATATTGGTAAATGAATATGTACGATACATGTACATCTAGCCCTTGGCCCTCAAGACTCAACTGTGGACTTATCCAAATCAGGTGCTACTGCTGCCAGAATACCTTACAAGTATATGCCGGATGATGTGTAAACACACACAGTTTTCCTTATTTGTTCCCATGGACATGGGAACTCTTTTGTCATTTTCGCGGTTGACGTATTAATGCATTGTGCTTGGTTGGGTCAAAGCGCAGAAGACGATCCTACACGCTACTACGGGTACTATTATTAAGTGGACCCACCCCCCAACCAACAATAAAACAGAAATGCCTTTCTTGAGTAATTATAGAATTGAATTGGGGAGAGCTAAGGGGATTAAAGACCTCCTGTGCTTGGGTAAGCTAATTTGGTAGGGAGCAAAAACCACACTTAAAAAAAAGAGATAAGGTTTCCAAATTCCAGCTACCATATCACCTCCTTTTTATTGAAACAATTCGCAAAAACACTGGTCCCTGGTGATGCCTGTATATGCTATGGACCTTTTGTATGTGAACCGGTTGACGTGTGGACGTGCAGCACGGAAAAATGGCACCCTAAACTAAGTCTGAATAAACAAAAAAAATGGAATTTGGGGAAACTCACTAAAAAAAAAATCAAATTTGATCGGGTAGGGAGGAGTCACAAAGAAAATTTGGTGGAGGCAAACAACCGCAAATTTTATAGAAACGAGGAAACAAAACAAAAGAAAAATGAAATTCCAAAATTTATTGCTTAGGGGCAATGCTCAGCAGAATCCAAACAACGATATAAAAAAGGAATTGTCTAACCACAAACTCAATCAAACTGGTGATCTAAAAAAATTGAAGAATTAGTGTGATGTCTGGGCAGAATGGGACTAGGTTAACTTTGATCTTCAAAAAAAATGCACTTAATGAAACCTCGTCGAACTACGAAAAATTAGATGCCAATGAAACTTTGCTGGTCTAAAGAAATAGGAGCGTGGATTCAACAAAGTTTAAAGTCAAGCAAATACAAGCAAAAAAATGAATGAATTTCAACAAAAAAACGAAAACCTAACCACAAGCAAAACTAAAATAACCGCAAGCCAACACAGCATATAAGAGGGTTGCAAAACAATAAACACAACAGCTTTGACAACCGAGTAAAACGGCAGACTAAGTGCCCGGCAGAGAACTCATAAAAATGTGGTGTGTGCTCTTCACTGCCAGTCTGCAAACTGAGTGGGTCTAGAAGGAATGCTGAGCACATGGTGCTAAATCAAAGGGACTCTTTGTTCAAGAGTCTTATTACTGTAAGAATGATGTTACCTTACCAGGGGGAGGGTCCAGCTTAAAAAAAAGAAAGCCATTTTCCAGGGGGAGGGAACTGAAGTTATTGTATATAAAGAAGATTACAACCATCCTCCTTACACTCGCACCTAATTTCTGTTTGTGGGCATTTGTGTTCTTGGATGGGGGAGATACTGGTCAACAGGTGTAAGGGTCAAACTTTCCAGAAATGTCAAACTTGCCTAACGTCAAGTTTATTATGGCAGCTGCAAATCTGCACCTCACAACCAGCAGTTTTGCAACATGTGCTGCTAAATCCATTTGCAGAGGCCACACAGGTGTCCACTGTCCGACCAGTCTGGCAGTCAGTCGTAGCTGGCCATCACCCTTTTTGAGGTTAATCTTGATTTTTTTTTGTCTTCTTTTCAGTTCCCTGCATATTAGGAACCAGAAGGAAAAGCTGAGAGCTGATGCTGTGATGAACTTGAGGCCGCTTCAGTGGTTGTGATACTACAGCCATTGTACTCATCAGTTGGAAATCCTGGTACCGGCACATTCAACTGAAAGTTTCCACTTGCTTGTACCATACGTGTACGGTACATCACCCCTCGTTGTAGAGTTTCAGCCCACTGAAGCAGGTCTCCTCTCCAACTGATGCATTTTAGCATTGACCTGTAAAGTTAATGTACAGGCCATTAGATGAAATGGATAGTTCGCCAGTCAGGAAAAACAGTTCAGGGGGGACAGAGGTCAAAGATTCTGATTTGAACACTTTAGATCAGTATGTTAACAACAGCAATAATGTGACTGCTGATTCAGAGGTTCCATTGACTGATAAAACGAGAAGTGACAAAAGCAAGGGAAACATGAGACCGGAGAATGGGTATGGGCCGCTGTCAAATCAGGACGAAGATGCAGAGGGGGAGGAGCCAGAGGAGTTGGAAGAGGAGGTGCACTGTGGCTGGCGTGGACTGCGGCCACAGTGCCTGCAGTGCTTCAACCGGCCGCCCGGAGTCCTGCTGTTCCTCTGCCTGTTTGCGGTGACACAGGGGATGACTGTCAATGGCTTTGTGTACGTTGTCACCACCACCCTGGAACGGCGCTTCAACCTGCCCAGCGTGCGGAGCGGCTCCATCTCAAGCTCCTACGACTTCTCTGTCATGATCGTCATCACCTTTGTCACCTACCTGGGCGACCGTGGCCACAAGCCCCTTTGGCTAGGCTTCGGGGCCCTCATCTTCGCTCTGGGCTCCTACATCTTCACACTTCCTCACTTCCTGACGCCGTTCTATGACTTCCACGCATCAGACTTTGAACTCTGTCTGTCTGAGCGCAACATGACAGACACGTGTGGTACTGCCGGCTCAGAGAGTACCCTGGCCAATTTTTTCTGGATGTTCGTGTTTGCCCAGTTTCTGCATGGACTTGGTGCAGCACCACTGTACACACTTGGTGTCACATACATAGATGAGAATGTTAAGCCAAAGATGACATCACTTTATATTGGTACCATTAAAATTTTCATATTTTGAACTTGCCACATGCTAATACTCCACACCATAATGTACACAAACTAGTGCATGCACTGTTATTAAATAAAACACGCTCTATCATTGATGCACTGATCCAATAAGATCCAGATGCATAGACTTGTGTAGGGGTGATAGTAGAATGATCCAGTATTTAGGCAAAAAAAAAAGAAGTAGTTCTGCTTCCAATTACATGCCTCTCAAAGATAGGGTTGGTGGGTCGGAAATTTGTTATTTTTTGGTCAATTTTTTGTGCTGATGTAATGGCAGGAATAGGGATGAAAGCTTCCAAAAAGTGTCACAAAAATTGATAAAAACCTGCCTTAATCTATGTAAAGATTTCTACAGTCAACAATCCGTAAGAATTATGGACAATATACACAATGCTAGTCAGGTAATCATCATGGCAAACTGGCCTTGTATCGCGTGGTAAGCGCGCATGATGCATCCAGATGGAGCTGGAAATTTTGTGGAAACACGCTCACTTCAAGTACGAGCAAAACAATGTGAAAATAAACTCGTGAACACAAAAAATACTGGTACATGTACATAGACAAGAGACCAAGTTCTGTTCACTTGCAGAAATCTTCTTGCAACATCAGTGTTTTTTCAACCTGCTGAAGCTGTAGGGTTGCATGCTTGTATGGCCGATGTTGTGTAATCGATGTTATGTTGACTGGGACGTACGGTATAGACACAGGTTGGCACATTTTCATCATATGTTTTTTTGCATGGGTGCAGCACAGCATTGCTTTAATGCACTGAGCATGTGTTTTCACCACTGCAACAATGAAATGAGAAGTGAACTTGTGAAAATAACATAAGTTTCTTTTCAAAAAGTTGGAAATGTAAGTAAGAAAACATAGAAAAAACAAGTGTTTTAACTTGAGAAAAAGGTTATTGAGAGGTGTTTTATGAAACAAGAAAAGACAACAGGATTTATATTTTTGAATTTTTAAAATATTGTTTTATAACTTGCCGATAAAAATTTTACGATCGGGTCAAAAAATTAGGGTCAGTCAGGAAACCGGAAGCAGGAGTAATTTTTTTTTTTTTGTCCAAGCCCCACCTATATGTGCTGTGCACATGGACAGTTAGGTACACTTCTTTCCCATGTAGCTTTTTGTTTGTAAATCGCAGTTATACCGGTAATTCATTAAAATTGCATTGGCAAGGCTTAATCCTAACCCTCTAGGGTACCGGCATTTGTAAAAGTCATATTGGAATTGGAGAATTGAGAACTCTTTTACATGTAACTTAGGGTTAATCTTCTGATGTATTGATATCTCACATGTACACTTATGTATTTAGCATCAAACTTAATATAATATCTTCATTTGACATGTCCCAATGATTTTGCAGGTATCTTCAATGCTGCCTCTCTGCTGGGCCCTGCTATCGGTTACCTGTTGGGAGGTGCACTGTTGTCCATCTACACTGACGTTCAAGTCGATTCCAGCAGGTAAATAAACAACAACTTCAAGTCCCCCTCCTAACAAAAAAATAAACTCTAAACCTGAAAACCTCAAAGCCTTGCAGAATCCTCAAGTGAAAATTAAAGCACACATCTAAAATCCACCCACAGATGCCATGTATTGGACCATGCTAAAGCTCTCGACCAAAACGTCTATACTGTACCCCAAACCTGAAAATAAACTCCCCAAACTTGAAGTTTGAATTCCCAAAAGTCAATTTCAAGCCCAAATCTTCAAACCAAAAATCCAAAATAAAACAAAAACCAAAATTAAATGTACAAATTCTAAAACCACTGAATCGCAGCTGAAAAGCGGGCTCAGTGCCAAAAAGCAACATTTTTAGTCGCACAAAATTGAAGCGTTAGAGTACTGGTACTTTGCAGGCTGTGTGATTTCAAAACAACTACAGTTTCTTACTATGAGTTCATTGGCTTCAATAGTTTTCTGCGGGCAGCTAAAAGGTGATCTCCCTCTGAACCCAAAATGAAAGTGTGGGTATGTTTGAAATATAATTTGTTCAGCCCCCAAGGGTTACTTTTTATGTCATTGAATGTAACAGACTTTCTCAGCAGGTGCAGTACCTGTACTTGCCCATGTCCTGTACATGTACATGAATGTACCCATGACCAACTGCATTATGGACATGTTTGTAGTGTACATGTTTACAGTATAGCATTGAAGCTACAATGGTTTTCATGTACTGGTACATATGGGTACACGCTGTAATTGCATTGTAATTTTGAAGTGTTTTAATTTCATGCCAAATTGACATCAGGTTAACCATGTCATCTGATTTTTCTGTGGCTTTTCAAGTTGGCTATTGATTTATTACGTGCTAAGCGTAAATTGATGTTTGCAGCTGGTCCAATTAGGCTCTAGTGGCTGACCTGATCCCGACCTTATCCTGACCTTAATGTCTTCCAGGATGCCCCTTGCCACCCAGTGTGGAGTAGCAAGCCAGAGAGTCTGTGTGTATCCAAACTGCTATTGCATTGACAAGGTGTTCGAATTATTTTTCAAAGGTCATTCTACTATGTGATGGCTAAATGCAATGGGCACAAGTGCAAAACCGGCAAGGTTATTGATACATTGGTGTAAAGGGTGTGAATTTATGTCTTTATTCTAATTGCTGCCACAGTTAGCTTTCACTTTAACTTAAAAATGCCTTGAAATTCAAGTATGACCTTAAAGGTCTTTGCCAAGATAGGGTGCATGTACATGTAAATTTCACAGAACAGACAAGCACTGGCATATGGGCATAGTACTTCTGAGTTTATGGACACTGCACTTGAACATAAAACCTGTGTCCATATTACTTGGCTTTGGCTGAAAATGATACATATATTACTGCGAGTCTGTAGATGGATTAGGCCACTACCTACTGGTACATGTACATTGTACATGTAGTGGATTCCATGGGTACATTTGTTATTTCCTGTCACAGCCTTGTACATGTACAATGTACATGCATGGACTCGGCTAGTTCTGTATATTATGGGAGCTCATCAAGTGTAGACTTGTAGATCTGCTACAAAAACTGACACAGCCGGTACAGATCTACATGTACAGTCCACAACACATTGTACAGAGGGTTTTCTTAAAGGAATGAGTTCAAATGATAAATGTTTGCAATGTTAGGAGAGATAGAACAGCTGTCTGAAACCGAAGAACAGTATTGGAGTTGATTTATGTGAAATGGCACTTTCAGGCAAAAGCTGTTGGTGCAAAAAAGACTATGTTTTGCTGGATGAGGAGTGTGATATTAATGTAAGCCTTCATTTATTGAGGACAAAAGTCCTCTTACCAGTTACAACTGTCTAGATTTTGCACACAAATGAATCAAACACATGAGACCAAATAATTAGCAAAACTATTCCTGAAATGAAAGTTCCCTCAGTCATTCTTTTAAAATTATTCTAGTCATGGTACATGAATCGGAAACTGATGTTAACATTATCCTGTAATTTCATGGAATAGCTGGCCGATGCGGGAGGCTCTGGGCATCACTTCTTTGAAATTATTGTTTGGAATTCTTGGAAAACTGAAAATAACGGCAGATGTGATTGTTATTTATTGTAATCCAAACCACAGTTCACTTTCAGTACTTGAACAGAGAATACCAAATTTCTCTGGATATTTGTGTGACTCGGTGTAGAGTTTCTGAAAAGGGGAAGCAACATATCTTCAAGTTGCATACTGAAGGACAATTACGGAGTTCCAGAGTCAGTTTTAGGGACACGTGAAGTGACCGTGGAAAGTTTCTTTTCAGTCCAGCATTTATGTGCCATTGAGAGACTGGTATACGTGAATGTGATACCTTTTTTGGCAACAAGTCATTCCCTAAGTCGAAATGAGGAAAGGAAAAGTAGGTCAAGGTCAAAGAATGTCAAAAGGACTGTTTTTGGATGAGCTTGATTAATACTGAATCACTTCAGAAACTGAAAGCAAAACAAGGGTGTCAATTAACTGTTGTTGGAATCCTGTTGATTTCGTGACAGTGAGATTACAGGAAGGACTGGTGTCATAAAAGTGAAACTGCTTGAAGAGTTTGGTGGCACTGAAATCTGAAACCACCATACAGTACACGTACATGTACGGTCAATGTGTCGTAAATGCACCCGAGCAATTTTTTACAATTTGCAAATTTAATTGGCTCAACCAAACAAAAAAAGTTTCCCCCAAATGGAATACTGCACAGAGTGTGACTACTGCAGGTTGTATTTGAAACAAGCTTCTGAGAGGAATTTGTTTAGCCTACACCGATACAACATTGCCCCAGTGTGTGCTTACTTGTTGGTGTAGTAACTGCAGTTCTGAGGACTCTTCACAGAGTCGTAAAACATGAATTTTTTCTAATTACAGCTTATTTTCTTCAAACTGGATTTTCCCCTCTTATCTTTATACAGCCTGAGTATTGATCCAGACAGCCCTCTGTGGATCGGTGCGTGGTGGATAGGGTTCCTCATCAGTGGCACTTTGGCGATGTTCATCACCTTACCTTTCCTGGGCTTCCCGAAAGCTTTGCCAGGTATAATCCTGAAACCTCTAGCCTAGTTTTTCTCTGACAATTAGATCTCTCCTCTCTCATCTTAAGGTGTCAGGGCTGCTACAATTTCAGGGTTAATTTGTTTTTCCAGGAAGCTGTCCGCTTTTCCCCATGAAACCTTCTACAAATAGTTGTTGACTGCATGCAGAAGGTTCACTGTTGGTTGGTGACAGGTTTGGCATCAAAACGAACATATTTGGGTCATTCTTCAGTAATTGTCTTCTTTTGCGTTTCTAGAAAACCAATTTAAAAATTTGTCTCTTTGCAACTTTGAATGTTGTTTCACGAAAAAAACATCCCTGGCATAGCAAAAACACGTTTGGTGCAATCTTTACTGGAATTTAACTTAATTTCCCCCCTCTTTTGAGGGGCCGATCATTGTATTCTGTCATATCCGTCACATTTTTGTGATAATCAACCTTGGGAAATAAAACCAAATGAAAACTACAAATCTGCGTTCACACCACAGTCTTCAAAATTATGGAGTACTGTCTAACAATCAATATAAATTGCTGCCTTGGTATAACACACCGATTTTAAATCCACGAAAAAGTTAAGTGCCTCGAAATTTGTGACTTTTCTTGCAAAACAACAACTGGCACATGATTTTACTCCAACTTCCTAAAATACAAAGTGAGCTCCAGATGATCTACTGGACAAAAATGGTTAGTCTATCATGTACAAATGATAACTTTATTGATTTTTATATTTGCTTGATGTTCACAGACATAAATTACAATGTACTTGTGTGATGGATATGACTGGCTGTGATGGAGATGATCAAGTCATTTCCGTCATGTGACGGAGATGACGTCAATCATCATGAGGTTCTAAGTGTGTGAAAACAGGAAGCTAAATCTGTTTTTTAAGGCGTGTTTATAAACTTGCAAATCTCTTACAGACTTAACCTTAAAAGGGGTCATGCAATGCAAATTGTTCGGTTGGTAATAGTTTCTTTATGCAATAATTTCCGAAGCAACCATTTTCAGGAGTTAAATTAAGGGAGGGAGGATGAAGGTATGATACTAGACCTCCTCAATTTTGCTAGCGGCAATTCAACAACTGTATGTATTCATGTCAATTTTTTCATTTCATGAAATTTTTTCATTTTCAATTTTTTTCATGAGAAAACATTTAAGTATACTCCATGAAATAAAACTAACGAACATTTCTGGAAGGTAGAGCCTTAGAGCAATTGTGTCTTATTATGTGCTTGCAAAATACAGTAAAATGCTTTTAACTGAAACAAAAAACTAAGGTTTGATTTTTTCCGTAGCCTATTTTCTTCTCTCTAAATGCACAGTGAGAACACTCTCAATACGTGAACAGTGAAGCACCCACTCTTTTGAGGAGTCATATACATGTAACAACTCGAAAAAGAGTTGTCCACAACACAGCTCGTCTTTTTGAGCGATATTTGCTCTTTTGGGCGGTTTTTCTCTCTTTTGGGGTGGTCTTTACTATTTTAGAGGTTATAAAGGAACTCCGTAGAAGAATGGAATATTCACCTTTTAATTTATATGTTCCATTTTAGGCTCCTTTTCATCCTGATCAAGCGACATGGCAACATTTTCACAGATAATGGCATACACCGCATTAAGTGTTTCTGCATTCATTCAACATTGAGTTTCACAAGAATTTCTCGCCAGTAATCCATGGCAACCTGGGGATGCCTGTTAGTCACTTTCTCCATTGGCGGTATCCAAGTAATGACGTCATCATACTTAAACCATATCTTGTCTTCCCTTAGTGGCCAGCAAAATGTATTTTTCCCCCACTCTTGCCATGGAATTCACTTCTACCGAGTCTGCATCTTTATCGTCAGTGATGCCTGGATATGGCTCTTTCTCCTATACCATAATCCATAATGGGTTGTGTAGCAGGGCTTCAGCTCTCATGTGCTCTTGAATGTTTCTTTCACAGTTACAGTGGTTGATTTTCCATCACCATTCGGTTTTTCCTTGGTTACCCACCGCTTTTATTCGAGCTGCTTGTCTGGCAGCTGGCAATGGACTTGTTTCCTCTGGCATTCTTCTCACTCTCCGGACATACATGCCTTGCTGCAGATGTCGCAAACAGCTGACTTCATTGATTCTTCAACAGTGCTCATTACTCTATTCGCAGCCAGAATTTCATTCATTAGCTCAATGTTACTGCATCTCTTACACCTGCAAGAGTCTAGATCGCTGGTTGATGGTTTCACCATCCACCAGGGCCTAAGCTTACAGAAGGTAGAGTAGTGTATTGACAGTGTTGGATTTTCATACAGGAACTTAGCATGAAGCACTTTAAGGTTGTCATTCAACAGTCGTTTCTGTTTCTTTACCTTGTTTCTTGTGATTGTGTCTATTTTGCCAGGCATTTGTCGGCTGTCGTCATCGCGTTCAAAGAGGTCATTGAGTAACATCTTTGGTTCATTGTTTACCCTGTCGCTTCTCTGGACCCTTTCATATTTTAGGTTTTTGCCCTTATCTTTATGGATGAGGCGATGAGCATTTGTTCCAAGTGTCAACGACAAGCGTTTCACTATCCTGTATTTTTTTACTATGTTACTTGCGGCAATTCATCTGATCTTTTGCTTAATTCGCCGTGCCTTGTTGTGCCGATACATGACATGCAATTCAGCAAGAAGAACATGATGAAAGACAAGTTTTTTTGTTACTTCTCTGTCAACTCTACAGTGTCGTAGTAGCTTCCTTGTTTTTGATCGTGGCAAATCCTCCATTTCAAGCAATTGTTCATTTACCCTGTGGTACCTCTTCTTTCATCGCTGAACCAGCCTCTCTTGTTGCTTTAATTTCCTGGTAAGGACTCCATTTTGTCTGTAGGCTTTTGCTCTCTCTTTCTTGACCTTCTTGTGACCTCTGTTGGTCCTCTGATCAACTGACTGTTGCAGAGTTGAGCGTGACAAATTTGAAGCACTTCCACTATTAATGGTGATATCTGAGGACTGTCTGGAAGCTGGTCGTAGACTTGTTTCTTAGCATGACGATATTTCATTGTACTCGTGCGCCAACTTCGTCTTGTTGTCCTCTGTTGTCGCTCACTTCTCTGTGAAATAGGAATATAGTTCACCTTCTTTTGAATGCTCTTTTTCCATGTAATGAGCTTTCTGTGTTGGGTGGTTTTTGATACAATCACGGTATCTTTTGGCACATTCTGCTGCTGTAAGAGCCATTCTGTGATAAGAAAATTAAAAGCTTACTTAACATTATAAGTTAAAGGAAGAAAATGTAAGTTGCAAAAGGCTGGTTTCAGTAAAACCCAAATTTATACAAAAAAAAGTTCAACTGAGGCCTAATTATGCCCTGCGTACTAAACAGTGTAGGCCCTTGCATGCCAAGTACCTGGGTCCCATTTATGGGGCTATTTCCAGACTAATCTCATTGTGACTGTGAACTCGGCAATAAATAATGTTGGGCGCAACCTCAATAGGCCTAACACTTTTTCCCCAAAAAAAATGAGGTCAGCAATTTTGTGCAAAAGTAGGCCTAAATGAAGACTTAACATTCTTAACCATTTAACATGTCAAACAAAATAATGCCCAAGCCCCCAAAAATGGATCAAGTCAGTCATCTGTTACAAAGCCTGACATCTCCGTCACTGATGAGACAGTGTGTAATGTGACAGAACTGAGCGTGACGGACATGACGGTCTTAACCTTTGGTCCAGCAGAACTTGGCGGTTCTCGCTATGATTGGTGGGAAGTTTGGGAAGCTGGCAAAGGTCACGGATCTTTTTGCAATAATCTTTACAAAAAACAAATAACTGTATGTACTTTACGAGTTCTACAGCGTTCGGATATGACGCTGAATAAAGGTGCACACCTTCAGTCGAGGTAAACTCCAGGTTTTGAATGGTTTTAATGACAGACGAGCTGAAGAAAATGCAAGCTCCACACAATCCCATATCGAGCACGTGCATAGAGACTGAGACAGTGCTTCAGATTGCCTTTTATCAACTAGTGAGGGCGCTATTTATTTTCGTGACGGTATCTGACTCAGATCCGCGGGACAAACGTTTTCCGACAAAAAAGACAAAATGTAAACCACAAGAAATTTATCCTGGCATATTTGAAGCACCGAATGGATTTGAGTGACAGATAAATGTCGGTTGACATTGTAAACTCCAAATTTCAAGAGAACTCTTTATAGATGATAGAGAAACACTTCCAATGAAGAAAAAACACTAGACTGTATGTCCTTACCGTACATGCTCATGTACAGTACTACAACTGTGTGAGAAGAGGATAAGTCGCGAATATCTCTCCCAATAATGTCAGTCTGCTACTCCAAGAATTACCCAGAGGGTTAATAAGTTGGCCCGGGCTCATGGGGAAACAGCAAATTGTTTTTGAAGGTTGGGGGGGCAGATGTGCATTTATGATATTGGATACTTCCTCGGGGAATGCTAAGATTCCGAGGCTTGGGCAACGTATTGCCCTTTAGTCCTTGTAATCTTGTTCTTCCTTCTTGTGGCAGTGAGAAGCACCACAAGGTTTCCTGTTGAGTAGTTTTATGCAAAAGTTACATGTGTTTTGTGGTAGACATGTGGCTATCATTTTGTAGACTCTCTGTTATTCACAGTTTGTGGACTTTTTTCCTGTAAACTTGGAGTTTTGGTCTTGGGTCTGTTTAATGCATTTGTTGCTGGAACTTCAAATGTACAAATGTACAAGTGCACTTGAGCACTTCCAGACTTGAGATTGTGTTCATTGATCTGTTGGCCTTGCACCTGTATCACCATATTTGGTGGATCTGCCTTACGACATCAAACTGAAAATGCTGCTGAATACCCATGTGGGCTCAGCTAGGCTGTTCTCCCTGCTCCAGGTTTCTAACATTTCATACAGTTGGTATCAGCTGAGTTTATTTTTGGCCTGTGAAATTAGTTTTCAGAGTTTGGGAAAGATTACAGGTAGTTTCACCTTCAGTGAAAGGACGGGTGGTGAGGACAATGGAAAAGTGGCCATTACGTGACCATTCCATGGATCTCCTTAACATGTAATAGTACATGTACATGTAATCGTACCACCAACATGCATCAAGTTGATGCTTTTCACTGAAGAGATCAGCTTAAAGCACTTTTAAGCTTTTTTTCCTTGTTTTTTAAAGGGCAAGAGTCACAACACCCAGGGTAATGTGGGATTGTAATAGTTATGGGACCCTGTGGAACCCTGAAGGTTCAAAGCCAGACATCTTCTATCTCAGATCATGGAGGTTCAACGATACATGTCTCCATGCTTGGATGTACCTGGAGTCATTTCTTGTCCGTTTTCACCATCATACTGCATCATCATTCATCGTACAATGTTTACGTACATACACATGCCTGTTGCTCTTTGCTTGAAAGTCTCTTCTTTCACATTTGACTGCCAAATTGCATGTATCCTTTACTGCAAATCTGTGTTTGTTTACCACAGGCTTAAACGATTCAGTAGTGGGCTTACTGTGGATCAAGATCAGGAGTTTATTCTAGAGGCACGGTGCAGGGATAGTAAATGCACAGGCCTCATAGAACTCAGTGTTATAATTGAGCTCCGTAAAATAGATCTCGTTTACTGCCGGATATACATGTACATCTACTTTGGGTCCATTTAGTTAAACTTCAGAAAGCTGCAGAGGTGCTGAACTATGCAAAATGAAGTGAGAAGCAGGGTTCCTGCGGCCTGGAAAAGTCATGGAAATTTGTTTTTCCTTTTTCATGCCTGGAAAAGTCATAGAATTTTGTAAAAAATGACTAAAGTCATGGAATTTTACCATGGAAGTCATAGAACTGTGTGATTTCTATTATCAGAAATCTGTGATTGTATTTGCAACCTGAAAGGCCACATAGTCCAAGAAATTGCATTATTTGGTCATGGATTTTTATAATTTGGTCATGGAAAAGTCGTGGAATTTAATTGTCCTTCAGGTGCAGGAACCGTGGAGAAGAATCTTGAACTTAATGCATTGAGAGATACTAGTAGGTAACAAGTGAAGATCATTGAGAATGGGTGTTGTCCACCAGCCACTGGTAGAAATATATAACTGTGACAGAAAGGGGAAAAAAATGAAAGGTCTACATTAGCCAAAAATTTGGAAATAGAGAATCATATTTCAATACGCACAGGTGCACACACACATACACATGTACATGTACACTCTACATACATGTACATGCCACACATCAATGTGGTCTGCAGTATGTGGACACATCTATCAGTACAGACTAGAAGTGCCCCTTAATTGGCAAAGAAAAAAACAGGTTTGTGGGAACCATTTTGGTGTTTTAGAAATATGTCTGGGTACAGTCCACTAATTCAAGCCCCTTTGAAAACAGTTTAAAATCAGCACGTTCAGGGCCCAATAAGATGCATGCCAACATCCCTGAGATTTCTGAAACACAAACGAAATTCTTGTCTGGTCACTAATCTTTCAATGTCTTTTCAATTTTTTGTGGGTTAACCAATTACATTTTACTTGTTCCCACAAAACAAAATCACACCCCCCCAAAAAAGGTGATTTTTCTGAAGTCTGATTGCAGCCATTTTTCAAGTGGCAACCCTCAACTTTCTCAGGCACTTAGGACCATTTTTCAACTGTAGTTTTTAGCCATTCTGCTCTCATATGAGAGCTCAAAGACCCAGGGAATTGATCCTGGCAAGGATTTACACAATCTCACCATTTTGGGGGCCTAGCAATCTCCTTTTTCAAAAGATACTATACTGGGGGCACTTTTAATGCTGATGAGCTGGCCAGAAATTCTCACTTGAATGAGTGGTCTGCACCCGTATGGTACATGTATATGCAAACTACCTTGTCAAACAGACTTATCTTCACTTCAGGTGCCACCGTTACAAATGCTTTGGGTAAAATACTGTAGATACTAGTACATGTTGATTGCTCATCACTGGGACAGCATCATCAGACAATGTGTGTTCCTTGGCACACTCTGTATTTTTGTGCATGCACGTGCATGCTTGACAAAACAACAGTTGTTTTCGACAGAACTGGGGTTGTTTACACCCTTTTGCGGATGTATGGCACCCATGATCATGATGATAGTCCCTTTGACATATAAAAAGAAATTGCAGTGTGCCCATTCCCCGGGGCATGCAGTCACAAATTAATGGGCAAAAACAAACGCACCCTGGACACTTCTTTATCTTGTCCCACCCGCCCCCCCGAGAAAAGCCATGCAACCCGGATGCCACTTATTTCTGGGCGCCTGGCCGTGTTGTCAAAGGAAATGTCCATTATTCTTTAATTCACCTGCTTCTTGAAAATACTTCCCCCCTTGGGACACCCCTGGATGGCGTGCCTGCGTCAGAGGATGACGCTACTTATGCAAGGGGTCCTAACGGCGTCTGATTGTTTTCAAATCCATTTATGGGCGCCCAGGTTTCGTCAAAGTTGTAGCAACCCCCCCCCTCTCTTTCCCTGAGACATCCGCTCGATGTTTGCTTAAACTAATTCTTTGTCCCAGGGTAGTAATTGTTGCAGAAGCAGCAGCCGCAAAGGGGCATGTACATGCAGGAGCAAACATGCAAGAACCTTGGGGGAACATTGAATCCAGAGAGCATGACATTGTTTTTAGTTCATGACGCTGACTCTGCAATTTTGGCACCCTGCAGTTTTGGCACAGGGAGTGGTTTTTACAAGTTTGTACGTGCAAATACCGGTAACACAGTACATCTTGAAAACACAAATACCATGCTGTACGCTCTTGAGCCGTCATTTGCTTTTTGCATTTTCTGAAGACTGAAGAGTCATTAAAACATCTTACGTACCCACTGATAATGAGGTTAATTTCACTTAAACCCAAAAAGCATTCTTATGCACACTTGGCATGCTTGGGAAGCTTTGAATGTACTAGTAAATGTACATGCAATTTGTAATGATCATGTTATAGGGGAGATAGGCCAAAACCTGCACTTTTACAGACAATTGCGACCTCAATAACACACTAAATCTTCCCCCCCCCTTTCTTCATTGCATAGGCCAGAAGAAGCTCGCCAAGCTCCGCGTCTCAGAATGCCATGGGGGCCAGGAATTCTCGGCTCGGGCGGGCTTTGGCAACAGCCTGAGGGACTTCCCCCAAGCCGTCTTGGTCCTGGTAAGGAACCTCCCCTTCATGTTCATCACAGCCTCTGCCTGCACCGAGTGGTTCATCCTCTCCAGCTTCGCCGTCTTTGCCCCCAAGTTCCTAGAGTCGCAATTCAACCTGACCTCGGGATGGGCATCAATCGTTGTTGGTGTGTATTTTCTGTTACTTTCTGACTGCAATAAACTGGGACAACTTTAGCTGAAGTTTCTTCTTGCATGTACAGTATATTACTTTGTTGTTGCATGGTGTTGCTGAAAATTTATGAAAAATATGGGTTCTATAAACTGATTAAAGTCACTTCTTAAAAGGAATCTTTTTGGTTTTTTGAAGGTTATAAAAATTGTTAATAAGTGTACATGTTTGTAAATTTCATTAATATCAATCCGTTTTGATAACCTGCTGAAGTTTCTGATTTTGGCAGAAAACTAGGAGGGTTTAAATCCTCTTTGAAGTTTTTTTCTCTATGCCATTGGTAAAGACTCAACTTTTCATACAGTGTCAAAAGAGAAAAAAAATTGGCCTATTACCCCCATTGACAGTGTCTAAAATGTGGAAATTCTTAGAAGTAGTTCACCCTTTTACATTCCAGGCACTTGCACCAGTACATGCAGCATGCTTCTTCGTCTGTTTTTGTTTTTTGGCCAAAGGGATGTCTGGATGTTTCCTGTGAATTACTTTACACATCCTACGCGCACTTTGATGTAAAATGTGAAATATTGCAGAACTTGGACAGTCTCATTTTCAATTAAATTTTAGCCGAAACGTTTTCAACTGCAAAGGCCCTGAGCCCAGTTGAAAACAGGAAACTTTAATTTTTGGTTGCCATTTGCAAGAGGTTCACAAAATATACAGGTATGACATTTTGATTGGTATTTGTAAGTTGCTTTTGCTGTGTAAAATATTGTGTTCAGGCATATGAATGTTACAAATGTGGTCCTTCCTGACTATTCCTGCAGGATTGACGGTGATCCCAGCTGCCGTGTTTGGGTCAGTCATCGGCGGCTGGGTGGTCAAGCGCTTCAAGTTGCACTTCAAGGGGATGATCAAGTTCTGCCTGTTGGTCCTCCTGGTTTCCCTGCTCATGATCGGGGCATTTCTCATCAGCTGCCCCAACCCCAACTTTGCTGGGGTTACCGTCGATTACGACAACAAGTGAGTGGGAGAAAGGGCCAGTTGCCTCTAAGCCCCACCAGAAAAAGACACACGTGATTGTTACCATGAATCTGTTGTAACTTTGCCTCAGTCGTGGCCCAATGTTATGGATCAGTAATGGACTAATGCAGCATTGGGACAAGCTTGGCATAGTAATTAATGCATCCATTAACGTGGTACATCTCATGACGAAGAAATTTTATCTGTTTTTTTCTCAGACTTACACAATACATTGTTGGCTACAGTCAAGTTCGTCACTGAGTAAACTAAGCATTATGAAATAACATTGAATTGTACATATACAGTAAGCTTAAACTTGAAATCTGCAAAACAAAGACTTCTGTAAGTGTATTTCGGCAGTGATTGTCGTAGGAATCTGATTACTTCAAGTGAGGTTCCGGCATGCTGAAAATGTGAAGCACTCTTAAAAAGAACCTTGACTAATGTTCAAGTTGTTTGGCAGACATGTGCACGCTTTTTGATTGCTTGTTTAAAACTGTGTATCTGCCATGGAGAATACACAGTACACAGCACAGCCGTGGCACATGTAGAGTTTATTCCTACCCTTCTGCATAATATGTGGGATTTATTTTGGACTAAATCGTGGATCGATCATACCTTTACCTCTGGTATCCAAAAAGCTTAACATCAAGTTGTCTCGTTATTGGCTAATTGGTTGACCAGTACCACACTCACTTGCAGGTGGTAGAAGGACACAATGTACAATGCATTACACCTGAGGTTGAAGACCATATAGGTGAATGTGGGACCACTGCATTGATGGTGTCCCCTTAGTTGAAGTGTAGACTGTAGTAATTATGGAACCGTATTGCACGCTGAAATGCAGACCTTTACCGGTACATATCCTGATGTGCAATGTGAAATACCGTCTGTCTGCAAAGGTTTTTTACTGTGATTTTTTTCTGTTTAATTTTGTCAGTTGGCTCTTCCATGATCAAGAAACCAACTTGACGTCGGCCTGCAATGTGGATTGCCACTGCGCCGACATGTTTGAACCGGTCTGTGGAGTGGATAACACGATGTATTACTCGCCGTGCCATGCCGGCTGTGCAGTGGCCAGTGTGCATCCCTCCAGCTCTGTCAAGGTAGGGAATCCAGGTGGAAAGTCCTCGTTGAGTACTGCACACCTGTGCATTTACAGGCAAAGTACAAACTGGGCAACCAAGAAATCATCACTGGCGGGTATTTATACAGACAATGGATACCTATCCAAAAGGCAGGAGAGGTTGGATGGGTTGAGAAGTGCGATCTAGCACACTCTCTTTCTTCTCTCACACTTACTCGTGTAGTTGTGTCTGCATTCAGTGTGACACTTAAAGGGTTTCTTGCACTTACTGTGGCGGGGACCAAGTAACCAACCCTGCTAAAGTGATTACTTGGAAAAGTATCATACAATGGAATGCAAAAGCATGCCATCTAAACAGTTCAGAGAAGTTGTTGCATGTATGGTATGATAATTTAACTCAAGTCAAAAGTTCTGCAGAGAAAAGTCTGGTAACGTGTGTGGGTGACCATCGCTTTTGCCAGTTGAAATTGATTTTGCAGATTTAATCATCAAATGACCTCTTGGTCAGGTCAAAACACCTTTATTAACCTTAGATCATTATTACCAGATGCTGTGCATACACGTGTTTACAAATATAGTAAACATTTTTAACCCCCAAAACGCCAGGAGTTGGAATCTATCCCCCCCTCGACATTTTCTCTGATTTGGTTGTAGTACAAGTTTTTTTCTCCTTCAAGACTTTTTTTGGTGCATGTCTTACTACCTGTTTGCACCAGGTTTATAAAAATTGGTCATACCATTTTCATGACATGACTAACAAAACCGCATGTCGGGTTGAATTGAAACTACACGGATGTATCCATAGTGAACATTTTATACACCTGCCAAGTTTGAAAATAACAGCAGGGTACATGTGTTCCAAGATGAGTGTGTGTGGGGGAGGGGGCGATTACTGTGTGCACCCCCCAATGTCCAGCTGTGAGATGGTCCCAAATAATCAAGCTGTATTCGGTTTAAGCCATTACACACATCTGTACACTGAGACAGAAGCTTTATTGTAACTATGCACAAACAAGGGTGTATGTATTCTGATTTTAGTCTGTGGCCTTTAATGTTTGCAAGAATAATGTACATGTACATTGTATCTCCCAAGTTAGCTGCCGAAAGTGTAAAGAAAAGCAATCAAGCATACTCAAATAATAGCCGTGAATTGTTGAAATGCCATGGAACAAAGTGTATAAAGCAAACCTTAACCCGTATAAAGAGAACCCTTTTTTGGACACAACTCTCTGTCTCACTGACTGTCATAGAGACAAAGAAGCTTTTAGTTTCTTTTTAAGGAGAAAAATTGGGTACATAATGGATGTGACAATCCTACCCACACACAAGTAATTTATTGTGGAAAGGCCACATACAGAAGGAGTGCAAGCAAAGTGTTGTGCACTGTCGGGATGGCCCAGTGTGGGGCAGCCATTGAGCGACATGTATAGTAAAGTACTAATTACCGTTAACTCACTATACATATCGTGCAGCCTGCTATTTGAACTGATTTTTGTATACAAGCCTAAAGTTTTAAAATCTGAAACATTGTACAGCTTTTGTGCATCCCTTAAGCATATCTGTTGGGTTTCTCAAAACAAAAAAAGGAAGCCACAATCAGTAAATGAGCCTTTCTGGATTTACATGTGTTCCATGTACTTGTGTAAGTTGTATGTGTGCCTGGAGTGTACTTCCATGTAATTTCATCATATTCTGCAACATGCCCACTGAAGTCAAAATGTTTGCACCCCAGAACTATGTCAAAGCTTTTTCTGTTCGGGGAGTGAGGAGTTACCACTCTAGTAATTCAATATTGCTCTACATGTATCTGCCCTGAGTTGAAATGCACCATCACTGGCGAAAGAAAGACAGATGGTACTAAGTTTTCCAACCGTGTTCTTGCCTGCTAATGGGAAGACCATATATTCCAGACCAGCGGTACATATAAATTCACTGTTGCACATACTCAGCGTGCTCCGTGTCAAATGCGCATAAACTCGTGCACTTAGCCAGTACGTAGTGAGTGTGTACCAAAGCAGGACTGTCCAATTTCATTTCAAAACACACCCTCTTTTGTTCCTGCTCGGAGCGGGTAGAAGGGGTGTTGAACGTTTGCTACGAATCCACCAGTCAGCAATGAAGATGCTGACTTGCTTGAAGAACCAGACTTGCCTCTCGACAGTCAAGTGATGCCAATACACTTAGTTCAGGCTGTGCTGCATATGCTTGCAGATTTTGAGCTGGTGCCTTGCGAGTGCAAAGCTTGCCTTGTAGTGTTATTTTTATTTTTGAGGTACATGCACATAGTTTCTGCCATACTCCTTAACTTAATTAATCTTTATCCCAATTAAAAACCTTTCGGCTCCAAGCTGAGAAATAATTACATTGATCAGTTCATGTTTGTAAATTAGTAATTAACTTCAGCGATATGCCATTTTTGCATGAAATTTGTTTGTGCTTTATTGATGTTCAGACAGCATCTCTAGTTATATTTTTTATATTGATGTCTCTACCCACGTCTTTCATGCTGTAGACAAACAGATATACTGGCGTGTGAAAGAAAAAAACAGTGATACTTGTGTCCAAAAATATCAATTAAATATCAACATTCCCCAAATTTTCCCCCTACACACAGTCCTACCACAATTGTAGCTGCATCTCTGTTCCGGACAGTGTGAACAATGGGGATCCTGTAGCCGTGGCAGGGAAATGCACCAGCAGTTGCCAGTGGCAACCATTGTTCCTGGGCCTTCTCTTCCTCTTGGAGTTCTTCACCATTTTGTCTGTTGTCCCAGCAACCACAGCCACACTGAGGTAAGCAGGAATTTTATGTTGATGCCCTCATTCAACTGTGAAAATACTGTAAAGTTGATGAAGGTCCCATTAAAGAGAATTCTTAATGCAGGCTTTGAAGTACATACTTGTTTTTGAGGTACATGTGCATTAAAGGGTAACGGAAATTGAAAACATTTCGGTCACATGAAGTAACGGTATTTCAAAATAACAATAAATTTGTAACCATTTCAAAAACATCGTAAATTTAATGTTTATCCCATTAATTGTGACCTTAAAATGAATAAAAAGATCCTGTGTTTCCCCGCCCACAAAAAATCCCCTTTTGGCCATTTGCACTCCTAGGCTGATTTGATGACATCATTGCCAGATTGCTGACATGTACGGTGTACATGTACATCGCACACTTGCAATAGACTATGTTGTGTTTGAAGTATAGCTTGGCCCACAGGCAAACACTATCTCAGTGCAAGCATGAAATGCACGGTCGGACTGTATCTTTTAATTTCTACCTTGAACCGAGACAGTGCTTGACTGTGGGCCAAGCTACATCAAACACAAGCGTGCAATACTTCACATGCTGTGCACAATGCACGTGTACACTGTACATGTCAGTGTTCTGGTGATGACGTTATCCAATCAGCCTGGGAGTGCGAATGGTCAAACATGCCAAAGGGGGATTTTTTGTGGGCGGGGAAATGCAGTATCTTTTTATTTATATTGGGGTCACAATCAATGGGGTAAACATTAAATTTATGATGTTTTGAAATAGTTATTTGTTTATTGTTATTTTGAAATACTTTACATGAACTAAATATTTTCAATTGCTGTTGCCCCTTAACCCTTTATCAATTTCTTTGTTGCGCTATTGAGGGTATACTGCTGTTTAAAGACTTTGTTTTGCGTAGCTATAGTTACGAAGTTTTAGACAGGTTGCTGTTTACTTCTCTGGCACCAGTCTGCACCATTAGAAACGGGAACCAGATCAGTCTTTAACAAATAGATACCTGACATTATTTTCGTATTAAAGAAAATCCTCAAGGGATAGAAATCTACCAAAAAAAGCAAAGAGAAGCATCCAAGATGGAAAGTAAACATGGGGTCTGATTGAAAAATATAGAAAAGAAAGAACAGAAGAAAGGAAAAAAGAATATAAATTTCAATCATTGCAGGGCTCAAACCCACATTGGTATTCTTGCTGAGCAGTGCACATATTGAATGAGCTACTGCAGCACCTTGATGGCCTCTCTCGAATCCAAAACTAATGCTTATAAACAATGCCATATTTATTGAGTTTGAAAGTCAAATTACTGTAATTATATCCACTATGTGTTTTCTGCTTGTTATGCTTATGCAATCTGACTTCTTACGCAAAACAGGAATGTCCTCTGAGGCAGTAATTTTAGCAGAACTGCCATTGTATTGCCAAAAGCTACTGAAGGCTTTGAGGCTTTTTCTGAGGTAAATCCAGTGCCATTGGTGTGGCATTGTTGGTGGATCAGTGAACAAAGCCAGGCTCCCACCCATTCAGTGTTATCCACAAAGAATATGTCACTTGCAAGAAAAACAAATGAAAGGGCATTTCCAAGTGCATACACTACATCAAAATGTCATGGTTATCACAAGAGAAGCCTGTTCATTGCAATCTCTCGCCCCTGTCTTGTTTCCGTTTGTAGATGTGTTCCTCATTCTCAACGGTCATTTGCCCTTGGTCTCCAGTCACTGTTTTATAGAGCACTGGGTGAGTATTAACTGTTGTGGGTAAGCTTATTTTCACATTGTCTAATTTAGAATTTAATTGCAAGGACAGGTTCATTTTTCTTACGTATAAGAAATTAAAAATTGTTTTCTTCTTGATCTACGAACTGAACATCATACCAGCTTAATAATCAGGGATAGTGACAAATTTTGGAATATTGTCTGGGACTGTCAGTGTTGTAGTTGAGACCATCACAAAACCATACATAAGACAAGGCACCAGACCAGATACAAGATGCATGTACAAAACCAGACACAAGTAACAGGGTGAACAATGGCAAAGGAATGCTTCTGTTGCAGTTTAAATACTAGTAGCTGGTGACTTGAATTCAGATTCAAGATCTTGTGTTTGGTCTTGTGCTGGTCTTTTGTGGTCTTTTGAGCGGTCTTAAGTGGTCTTGACGACAACTCTGGGGACTTGAGTGTCATCTGTTGTTCAATGCCAGAACCAGTGTCTGATACATAGATATATGTTCCTGACATCATCTCAAGCAGAAATCTGCTGAGGGCTGTTGATTGGTCGATAGATGTCAGCTGACTATACTGCATCAGTTGTCTATGTTTGTTGACAAGGTTTAGGAAGCCTCAGTGTAAAGCGCATGTCTAAGAATGTTTCTGACCCAAGAAATGTGCTTTTCTGTTGGTTTGTATGGCAAGTGTACGCTCACAAAAATTTCAACCTACTTCAGCCTACCTACGCATGTATATTGTAGGCTTAACCATTTCTGCAAGGTACAGCATGCTGGGAAAGTGTATCAGTATTGTAAAAATGTATGTCATCAAGCTTACCAATGAGACTGATTGGTCAAAATGTGGAGGTCAAGGGCCATTGTTTTGCATAATTAATCAGCAAGTGTGCACAGATACCATTTACACTTGTCAACAGATGAGCGTATATGACGTAGTGTAGTTCTGTGCATGCATGTGCCTTCTAAATGCTGTGTTCTCATTGATGCTCTCCGTTGTTGACTGCAGGTACGGTCCCAGGTCCTGTCATTTTTGGTGCCATCATTGACCAGGCCTGCTTGCTGTGGGAATATGACTGTGACGGCTCAGGCACCTGTTGGCTGTACAGCAATGCCAACTTCAGCCGCTTCACGCTCATCCTGTCCGGCTGCCTCAAGATCGGCTCCATTTCCTTCTTCCTGGGGGCGCTGTTCACCTACCAACCTCCAGCCGCCGAGCCCGGCACTGCCATCGCCGACAGTCGCCCTAACAAGGATGTGGGTGCCGAGATGGAAGACATGACTGCGCAGGCGTAAGTGTGGAGGAGGATCTGGGAGTTAGACGGAGAGATATCAGTTATCACTTGTGTGCAATAGATCACGTAGTGATAGACACTGCACTGATCACTTCATGCACGTGGGACACAAAACAACATTTAATGCCTGTGTGTCTTAACACACTGCTGAATTGATGCAGTGATGAAGGTAAAGCTCTCTGTGGGAAGCTGATGCTCCAAAATGACCCATCGGCAAAAACCTACAGGTATAGAAAGGCATCCTGAAGTGAAAGCATTTTCCAGGTACCATGGTACCTCCTGATATGCTGATGTGAACGACTAGATGTGTTAAAAGTTTACTAGCTGACACCACACTGCCAATAATTGGACAGGGCTGTAAGGTCCAAGGTAGTGGTGAAAGAATTTTGAATCACAGTTGAGCACCATGGCCATGTGACCACTCTCTGGCATGTTCCACTCATAAAAGGTTCTATAGGTTTGTTCATATTCAGACAGGCATATCATACTCGGGGGGCCATGTACACATTTAGTAGGGTCTACATGCACCCTGTTGTTCAGTGTTGGCTCTTCCTAATAAGCCACAGTACCAGTTAGCTTTACCTGCATGGAGTGCATTTCTCACATACACAAGTAACTGAAGCTGGGGCTACATTCGAAGGCCGTAGCTGTGGCTGGAGTATGTTTCCCACTTGCACAAGTCCTCAAACCTGAAGCTACATTCAAAGGTCATAGTTGTGCACGGTGGTAACATAAGTGCGTGGGAAATTATTCTTGCCACTGGACAACAGCTTCCAGAGGCATTGACATTACTGCCTGCCGAAGTCATTTGAAAGTGGCCTCAGGGTAAAGTCCATGACCACGTTAGGCTGGTGCCTTGGTTACAGTGAATGACTTTTAGAGGGTGTCTCCTTTACTGAAGTTCAGGAATCTTACAAATATGGCAGCATTTAAGAAAATCACTTCCTATCGCATGTCCCAAAAAATATTTTGAAAAGGTCCAAATTTTGACAGTCTTTAATTTGACATTTTAAGTCACATTTCTACGTCCTCGTGAGTTCATGGACTCACACAGAACAGATTCGATTCATTAATTGGCACATTTGGCAGGACTCTACACGTACCTAAGCTTTGAGACCACCCCCAAAAAGAGCATGTCAAAAGCATGTTTGATCTCACTTTGTACAAAGAGCAATGTCTGCCACAACTTTAGGGGTGCATGAAATAATGGGCATGTGTGTATGTGTTTATATTGGACATTGGTATACTTAAACATTGTTGTTGGTTTGGCTTGGAATCAATTACTAAAATAGTGAGTTTCATGGAGGTGTAAAGCAGTGTAGTATAGAAACAGTTGCCATTGGTTTAAGGGGCAAATGTTGTAATTGAATTGGTTGTTTCTTGTTCTAAGCTCACGCAATTTTGAGCACAAATAAAGGAAGACATAAATCTGCTTGGCAGGCGTAACTTGGAATTGGGGTCACTAAATCTCAAGGCATCTAACTTTTGTACATACATGCATAATGTGTACAGATTTTGTACACTGTGCACGATTATGGTGTCAGTTTTTTAACTGAGCATGCGAGCATGATTTCCGTCGGCACAGATGTACATGTACCGGTACACCTGTTGGTGGTGTACATTAAATTACCAGAGCACTGAATCAGTTTCCCTGTGGAGAAACTTTGAAGTGGTGGCCTGCACAGCTATTTGAATTGCTGTGTGTTTTTTGCAGATCACTGTGAAATAGGTTGGAATGAATTTCTAATGTAATGAATAAATGTACTCTAAATGATGCCGCATGCAAAATACTGTACATACTGTAAGTGCATTTTTGATCCTTTAAAAATGCCACTGCAAATATTCGCACGCATATGCATAATTCTTTCAGTAAATAGGAACAGGTATTTCACTGATTGTGTGTTGTTTTGTATTAGTTATGATAATGCAGTGACTTGGAATTTAAATGCAAATGTCCAAATAGCTGTACGAATCCGAAATAAATTTAGGGTTTTCCAAAAATCCATGCACAAACACAGATGAATCCACTGGCATATCGAGTCAGTGCCCTAGTAACTTCACCACTTTCTGCCGGGGACTCCGGGATCGGAGACATATGGGTGGCCGGGGTCTCCGAACTCGGACAAAAGAAACAGGGCCCTGTAACAAAAGACCGTACTCCGAACAAAAGACCAGGCTGCTGGGAATTACTGACATTTTTCACTCTTAAAAGAGGTGATAATCCAGCCTTGTTTTGAAACCGTATACCAAAGATTACTTGGTACGCCTATAAACGACCATTGAAGGAAATGATAAATTTTTTAAGGATTTTGAAAACGGAAAAAATGATAGTCATGCCGGCCCAGCATCATCAACATTGAAAAATGCCTTTGGCATGAAGTGGTTAATATGTATATGTAGCTCGATGATCCATCACTTGACTAAACCCATTCAGTTGGCCTACCAAATGGGGCCAATTTGACAGTTGCTAAACATGCGAAGTTGCTCAACGAAGGGAACGTTTTAGCAGTAAAAACTGGTTAACCAATCAGGATCTGGGCCTTTGTTTTTCTGTTGCTGAGCAATAATGCTTTCTTTACAACCCTTGTAACATTACGCCAGTTTAGTTCATGTAATATTTACCTCTATCACTGTTGAGGGTTATTCTATGCAACAAGAACTACAGTATTCATTGGAATGGTGCCAACGTTTTGCAAAGATGCAAAGATTAACGTGAACTGTACTGCCTTCTGAATGCCTGTGTAATTGTAACACGAAGGACATTTTTAGCTCATACCTTCGAGAGTATCTTTTGGACTGTATGGGAGAATATCATGAACTGCCTGAAACATTTTACCTGCCGAGCTTTGAAGCTTTTCATGGTGAAGGTAGCAAGTTAAGTAATAGGTTTGTGTTAGGACCATGCAAGGATATCTCTTTCGTGAGTATGTGTGGTTCTGAAAAGAACCCAACGGTGCTCATGCCGTTGGCAACCTTCCTCACGGTCACCTCCTTCAGACTGACACTCCTCACTAATGGTCCTGCATCCCATGTTCTGCTTGAGTGCCCTTGGCTGGATCCTGAGTTAGCATATAAGCTGCTTCAGCATTGGAACCTCTGCAATCAGCTGACGATGGAGAAAGTGTACTGTCTGAAATGGTGTGAACCCATCGGTTCTTTGCAGAACCTGACCTGTAGATAATGACAAAAGAGATATCCATGCATGGTGCTACTGCAAACCTTTGACTTAATTTTTGTCACCCCCCCCCCAAAGTTGGTCATTGGGAAACGGGCAGTTATGTATGTATGGGTTGGCTACTACCGGTATTGTCTGGATGGAGACTTCTACAGTATTTTTATCCAAGATCTTACACAGCCAGGCCCAAGTTACAGAAAGAGCCAAGCTTCATGTAGTACATTTTGACCTCAGCGTAAGTGTGTATAATACATGTACATGTATCTTATCAACTTCAGAATTACAGGGTATATGTAAAACCAGAAATTATCAGGTCCAGTCATGTGGTTTTCAGCCAAGTATTAAGAATATAAGCCTTCGGGGGCAAACACTGAGTATACAGTGTTGTAATACACATCGGGCTGGGCAAAAAAACCAAAATTAACATTACCATGGTGCAAATCCATCCTTGGAAAAGTATCAAGAATGTTCTGCTTATTTGGGTTTTTCTTTCCGGCCTATTCTCACTTTTCAGTATCAATGCAAAGATAATCTTGAGGTTTAGGGGAATGTCTCCAAATAAGGGAGCTGGAACTGCTTTGTAGATGTAAATTTGTTTGTGGAAAGCTCATGTTGCAAACCTTGGAAAGTTGGAGAAAGTTAAAGACCTTTTGTTTTCTTCCATCTTCCAGAATTCTTATATCTCAAGACTTTTCTACTTTCAATAAAGTTCAAGATCACTTTTTGACAAAAGGCTTTTTTCTTCAAAAAATGTGACTGAAATTTATATTTTTAACGTGGTAAAATGTCATAAAAAATAGCACATTGTAAAGTTGAATGCAAAATACCACACTTGGTGACTTTTTCTACTTTCTTGGATAATAATTAGTATTATTTATATGCCGCTTTATGTAAAAAAAAAAACTCATGGCGCCTATCAATAAAAATGATAAAACCAAAATAGAAACTAAGATCATATATGTAAAATAACAAAACAATAGCTAAACAACCAACATGAAATTGGGTAAACAAAAAATTTGCAGTGGTGTTCATGTAAGTGTAGTATTGCAAGGTTTTGAATAATTAGGTTCTGATTAACCAGGTGGGTGAATTTACTGAGTTTTAATTACAAGTGACAGGCCCCGTCATTTCCCATTGCTGAACTTTTTTTACAGAATGCCATTTTATGTGAGGCATTTTCAAAAAGAATTTACTCAAGTATCTAAAGCTCTGCTGCATGAAAGAAGCAGGGGTGTAGACTGGCCCCTGAGAAACATTTGAACTCTCTCACAGTGTTTCTGTAAGTAGGCCTTTACTCTCCTTGAAAAAAATGTGACCAGTGCCCAGGGCCATCGCTGATGGGGAAAAGCACCTGCTCCTCCCCCCCCCATCAGCGAAATCCATGTGCATCAATATTATCTATTGTTCGTGCGTGTACCCCCTAGCTGGTACTGCGTTCCCCCCCCCCCACAGGCGAGGCTGGCAATGGGGTGCAGGTGCCTAGTTTTAGTCCGTTTTCAGGGGTACAGAAATCCATGATGTTTACATACCAGGTACATGTACCTGATGGGTCGGGTTTTCCTAACACTTTAGTTCTTCCCACCTGGATATGTAAACACAGTTCCCCACCGAATTATCCAAGATAATATTTGTTGATTACTTCATACTCTATTTGTCTCTATGTTGTCTAAATGACCTCAGAATTTGCCACATTTCAACAGATGGGGCAAGTTACATATCCCTTCATGTGTAAATACTGGAAGTTATATTGAATTATATAATTTTGAAATGAAAATCTCACCATTTACAAACAAGATCATTCAGTACATACAGTGTGATAGAACTTTTAAAGATGTACATGTGTTGATAATGCTTTGATTTTATTTTACCCCTGAATCTCAAAGGCCCAGTGAAAGACAGTGGTAAGGTCAAAGTATGATGTTTTGTAGTGATTGTTATATTGGGTAGTCAATGAACTCGGTGGTAGTGTAAATGCATGTACCAGTGTGTTTTTCTGTGATTGGGTTGTTGTTAGGTTTGGACATACATGTAGCTTGCACATGTCGTGAATGTTGTCTGGGGAATAGTTTAGGAGTACGGGTAATAATGGACGAGATTATTGTTGAAATTTTGTCCAAACTGCACTTCATGGCATACATCTAGGGCACTTTGAACCAAGCGGAAGACATCCTAACAGTTTCCGTCAATGAGTCAGTTCGGTATTTCAAAAAGGCAAGGTCAGTCAAAAACAAGGCACCCGACATATCGCTCCATCTTGAGTGTGTTCAGTGCATGTGATTCGTACAGATGTGCTGACGTTCACATTTTTGAATGACCAATGACTTTGTTTACTTGGAGCATGCGCTGTTGAAATACCAAACTGGCTTGTTGCACGAAAGTGTCCTACATGCAGCATACATTTTTCACTCACAGGAAGCTGTGTGTTTGTGGAGCCGGCACTTTGAACTTTGCAAACAGAACAAACTTTCCATTTATTTCACCAACTTCATGGTTTTACATGTATATAGATTATCATGGTAATATATGGAATTCTCAGAAGGGTTTTAAAAAGTGTCCACTTTGGCATTGAATTTGGAAGTGCGACTGATGTCCATTTGATGCTAATAGTTGGATCAGTGCATTTTGAGGGGCTGCATTTCAGGGACTGGGTAGGCTAACCCTAACAGCCTAAAATCCTCCGATTTCAATATGATTTTACATACACCCTATGGGGTTAATGTTACGGTAATGGTCTTAATGCGGCCATAGTGCAGATATTCATGCACACTTTTTTCTCCCTCTGTAAAAAATGCCACAATCAGGCTCCTCAGTAGGTGAGAAATGATGCGCATACACGCACCTTGTGGACGTGGGTGGCTGGACCAATAGGGCTTCGTATCCCGACGACTGTGTGACTCAAATGAGAACAACCAGAATCTCTCTTTAGTTGTTAGCTATTAGGTATGGTATCAATACTTGGATGTACCACTTTGATCAGAAAGATATGGGAGCACTTTCATCCAAAGCACCAAAGAAATTATGTACATGTAGAATGATATCAAACAGCCGTTTTGAGTTGTTTGGAAAACCATGATGTATTAATCTGTGAAGAATTTTGCACAAGTTTTAATCTAAATGCTCACCTCTATTTCTTCTGACTGGCATTGTTAGATACGTCAGAAAATGATTTAGTTCATGTCTCAGTGACAACAGAACTTAAAAGTTAAAGCTCTTGTGTCAAATGATTTCTATTGGAGTTTTAGACCATGAGAAAATTATAGCCTGTTAAGGTTTTAATTTGTGGCCTGTTAAGATTTAAAATTTATTGAGAAACAATGGCACCTTTTATCTTGTTTAAAATCGGGACCTTTTCCTGCACAGATAGAAATACCTTTGGGAAAAAGTTCTCTGAAGATGTATTAAATGAAAAGTTAACTTTGTAAATATTGTTTATTTATACTGTTATTTAACCCTTACTATATTTGGTTCATTGACATATTTTATGTTGGATACGTTTTGGCCGTTATTTAAAAAGATATGTATTCTCCGTGTTAATTTTAAACACCATGCACTCATCCCTAATACAGTCAAAGCACAAAGTCTTGAATACTTTCAGAAGTGACATACTGTCATTAAAAGGAAAGATTACCTGCTCAGTCTTTTAAAATACTCAGTATTACTTGCCTATATTTCTATCATTTGAACCTTAAAAAGGAAGCAAACAAGAATATATACCATGCCATTCCAGTATCATGTGTACTTTGTGCATATCATTGTGGGATTATGTATTCAAATAGTCTCTTGCGAGGCAAACGTTAATACTGTCAGCCAAATAGCCTAGACCTTCCGAATAAAAACCACTTCAGTGTTTTTATTCCTTTTCTTTATTCTGGGCTTTGAATAATGCCGTGCACCTACATTGTGTCCCTCAAACTCAGCGTGTGTGGGTGACAAAGCCAGTGCT